AAAGTAACTGGCGTTACTTATTTGAAAAAGTAACTCAGATATTTTCTTGTAAATTAAAAAATAATGCTTTACTTTACTAGTTACTTGAAAAAGTAATCTGATTACGTAACTCGCGCTACTTGTAATGCATTACCCTCAACACTGATTCTGGAAATGTGTGTATTAGCTTACATTTACATTTACACATAATTGAGATCTAAACGACCAAGGCAGTGCATCATTTCACTGTTGGTGTTAACGGCTCCTCACTCACAGAATGATCTCTGATTGGGCTGTGTTTCAGATCGTGGCGCGGGTGAGCGTGGATAACCGGACTCGGGCTCTGGTTCAGGCTCTGCGCCGCACTTAGTGCAGACTGGAGTATGTGTAGTTTGTGATCATGACGAGGGTCAGTTTCTGGTGAAACATGAATGTTTGTGAAGTGCTGCAGTGGGTTTGTGCTTCTGCTGCTGTAGAGGAAGATCAAAGATAACCCTCTGGATAAAAGCATCTGTTACATGAATGAATAGATATATTCTGCAGGAGCGTGTGATCCCGTGTCTGCTGCGTCTGCGTCAGGCCGGTGACGTGTGTCTGCAGTCCGCGGTCCGACAGGCTCTGGCTCTGCTGGGCTTCACTGAGCCCGTGAGGAAGCGTGGCATCCGGATCCTGGCCATCGACGGAGGGGGGACCCGGTGAGAGCCTTAAAGTCTCACAGAGTCTTCATTATCATGTTAAGAGCTCTTACATGTGGAGATGGAAAACCCTAGTCACCACAATACAAAGACTGTGATTCAGTGAAATACATGCTGCACGTTCAACACAATCGCAGTTCACAATCAGTGTATCCCGCACATTTATGATGCACCTTTGATGACCTGACAGTGTTGACGTTATGGTTTTCATATTCTGATATGTTGTAGATGGTTGTAAGATGCATATTTGATGTCTCTTTATGTGTCTTTTTGAATGAGCAGCTGAAGTAGAGTTAGAGTTAGAGTTATACTTTATTGTCTTTTGCAAGAAATTTGTCTTGGACTCAAAGCTGCAGTAGTTCATGACAACCACACACAATAACAGCAACAACATTATTAAAAAAAGAGAGAAAAAAAAACAGTTAAAATACCATCACAGTTACTAGTAAAGTAGCAAAGCAAAGACATTTCAAAATAAGAGTCCTGGTGTATTTCAGGTTTGTTTATAACTAGAAGTCCCTCATTATGCATAAAGTCTTTGTTTTCCTGGCTATTATTGGTATTTTAGTTACAAAATAAGCTTTATCTGCTATTTAAATCAACGTAAACTCTGTATTTATCTCTGAATTGCCCCGTCAAAGGAAAGAAAGACGAAGAACATAATTTAACACATTGAGTATATAGATTTTATTAGTATCGGCACAATAATATTTCTATTGCCTTTCAGTTCACAATCAGTGTATCCCGCACATTTATGATGCACCTTTGATGACCTGACAGTGTTGACGTTATGGTTTTCATATTCTGATATGTTGTAGATGGTTGTAAGATGCATATTTGATGTCTCTTTATGTGTCTTTTTGAATGAGCAGCTGAAGTAGAGTTGGAGTTATACTTTATTGTCTTTTGCAGGAAATTTGTCTTGGACTCAAAGCTGCAGTAGTTCATGACAACCACACACAATAACAGCAACAACATTATTAAAAAAAGAGAGAAAAAAAAACAGTTAAAATACCATCACAGTTACTAGTAAAGTAGCAAAGCAAAGACATTTCAAAATAAGAGTCCTGGTGTATTTCAGGTTTGTTTATAACTAGAAGTCCCTCATTATGCATAAAGTCTTTGTTTTCCTGGCTATTATTGGTATTTTAGTTACAAAATAAGCTTTATCTGCTATTTAAATCAACGTAAACTCTGTATTTATCTCTGAATTGCCCCGTCAAAGGAAAGAAAGACGAAGAACATAATTTAACACATTGAGTATATAGATTTTATTAGTATCGGCACAATAATATTTCTATTGCCTTTCTTTAAACGTGTTATCGATGGACCTCTACCTCATGTGTATTGATATATGAGAACATAAACCACTTCATTGTGTAAATACTGAATAAAACACGTCTTTAGTATTTAAACTCACAGTTGAATGTGCCGCAGCCTGTTTAATTAAGTAAATGAATCTGAGATACCTGATTGATTTTGAGACTGTATGGGTTTATGAATGGCATGCAGTGTTCATTCTTAAATGAGATGTTAAAGCGGAGTTTGGGGTTTCTGGTGTGTGTTTCAGGGGTCTGCTGGCCCTTCAGACGCTGTGCCGCTTACAGGAGCTGTCAGGAAAACCTGTCCATCAGCTGTTCGACTACATCTGTGGCGTCAGCACAGGTGTGTGTGTGTGTGTGTGTAGTGAAATATCACAACAACCGACTAGTGAGGTGAATTTATGGCTCATAGATCAGCAGAATCATGTCTGTATTTAAATCTAGAGTTCTGCACAGGTTACGACATATACACAGAACATATAATTAACCTGATAGGAAAAACAATGAAAGTCCATAATATAATGAAACAAGTGTGTGTGTGTGTGTGTGTGTGTGTGAGTGTTGACGTTATGGTTTTCATATTCTGATATGTTGTAGATGGTTGTAAGATGCATATTTGATGTCTCTTTATGTGTCTTTTTGAATGAGCAGCTGAAGTAGAGTTAGAGTTAGAGTTATACTTTATTGTCTTTTGCAAGAAATTTGTCTTGGACTCAAAGCTGCAGTAGTTCATGACAACCACACACAATAACAGCAACAACATTATTAAAAAAAGAGAGAAAAAAAAACAGTTAAAATACCATCACAGTTACTAGTAAAGTAGCAAAGCAAAGACATTTCAAAATAAGAGTCCTGGTGTATTTCAGGTTTGTTTATAACTAGAAGTCCCTCATTATGCATAAAGTCTTTGTTTTCCTGGCTATTATTGGTATTTTAGTTACAAAATAAGCTTTATCTGCTATTTAAATCAACGTAAACTCTGTATTTATCTCTGAATTGCCCCGTCAAAGGAAAGAAAGACGAAGAACATAATTTAACACATTGAGTATATAGATTTTATTAGTATCGGCACAATAATATTTCTATTGCCTTTCTTTAAACGTGTTATCGATGGACCTCTACCTCATGTGTATTGATATATGAGAACATAAACCACTTCATTGTGTAAATACTGAATAAAACACGTCTTTAGTATTTAAACTCACAGTTGAATGTGCCGCAGCCTGTTTAATTAAGTAAATGAATCTGAGATACCTGATTGATTTTGAGACTGTATGGGTTTATGAATGGCATGCAGTGTTCATTCTTAAATGAGATGTTAAAGCGGAGTTTGGGGTTTCTGGTGTGTGTTTCAGGGGTCTGCTGGCCCTTCAGACGCTGTGCCGCTTACAGGAGCTGTCAGGAAAACCTGTCCATCAGCTGTTCGACTACATCTGTGGCGTCAGCACAGGTGTGTGTGTGTGTGTGTGTAGTGAAATATCACAACAACAGACTAGTG